ACGTCCGTGTTTGCCCATGTTGGTAAGGTTCTGTGTAAACTGCGTGAACTACACATGCAGTCAAGGGTTAAGCTGCCACTCTGTTTTCGCGCGAAAGTGAAGAAAGCATGCTGGATGCAGACTCTCGGCCTTAAGAAGGTTTAGCACCGGACTCTTGCAGGGCTCAACCTGAAAGAAGACCTCCAACCCTGAGTCTGCACTTGAATGTCCTCTTAACCGTCTTAACCTTAGTCTTCTCGGCTTGGAGCTTCCGAGCTGTAGAGCTTCGCTATTTGCGATTTAGAGTCTGCGGTGCCATGTCGCTCAGCGGCAAGACGGTGGTCTTCACGGGGACGCTCTCCATGAGCCGGGCGGAAGCGTCCAGCGCTGCGAAAGCCGCCGGTGCCAAGGTGGAAGTATGCAGTCAGAACAGATCCAGAAAGCAGGGTTTAGGGTTTAGGGTTTAGGGTTTAGGGTTTAGGGTTTAGGGTTTAGGGTTTCGGGTTTAGGGTTTAGGGTTTAGGGTTTTAGGGTTTAGGGTTTAGGGTTTAGGGTTTAGGGTTTAGGGTTTAGGGTTTAGGGTTTAGGGTTTAGGGTTTAGGGTTTAGGGTTTAGGGTTTAGGGTTTAGAGTTTAGCAAAAAGGGGTATAGTACTTCAATTGTGCTTCATAGGTGCAAGGTTGCAGGGTCGATCCCAAACTCTTTTCAGGTGGCAGGATCGGTGTCTTCGCTCACCGACGTCGTGGTTGCTGGCCCAGATGCCGTGACCACCGCCAAGGTACCTGGCTTGATCTTGCTGCTGTCGTGATTCTCATGGTTGTCACAACTCACAACTGCCGTGAGACATTTGTGTACTATACATTGTTCTCTCGCTGGTGTGAGTTCTGCCAGTTGTTGCTTTCTAGCGTCTGTGTATTTTTCTGAGCAAGGCTTGGGAACATTTGGAAACATGTTTGGTGGACGCCCGCAGGGTAGCAAGTGAAATGGAGACCTGCTCAGCAACTCTCAAGCCCCGAAAGAACTTCACATGTCTATCCCGTTGTGCGTTGACAGTGTTTCCGGGCCCCGCACACCACGAAAAGGCGACGTCAACAACGAGACGTGCGCCTACGACTACTGCGACTACCTACGAACTACTAATTATTGACAACTACTACTGACTAGTAATCACCAAGTAGGAACCTGCTCCCTGCTAACTACCATTTCGATTGCGGCTACGAATGCTACCTTCTCCTCCCACGGCTGCCACCGCTGCTGCTGTGGCGATGATGATGACGAAGCAACTGCGACTAATACGGGTTTACGATATAAGGGGTACCTTAATGGGGTCCTCATTATAAGGGAATCCTATCATTTGGGGGGTATATATTTGGGGTCCCTTAATTTCGTAAGCCCCCATATTGGTCCAACTGCTGTTATTGATCTTCGTGGGTCTAGTGGCGCCAACTCTATGTTGGGGTCAAGTCCACTGTGATCGCCCAATTCCTGACCATTCGCTCTTGTTGCGGGTGTGCTCATGATTGTTGTTCAAGTATTCTAGTAATTATGATTAGTACTGTGATTTATGGTTTAGATGTTCTTGTCGCAACGATGGTTCTGGTTTTGATGGGTCCTGCGATTGGTATGATGCTTGTCTGTTGAACGATGATTGCCGATGGAAATACGATTATCACCACTAGTGTTTGTCGATTTTCTGTCGTTTCTATTGCAATTGTTACTTTTGCTACTATCATCTACTACCTGGATCAGTAAGCGCCGCAATGACAATTCTCATTTGACGTCCTTCTCTGTCTGTTCTGAAATTTATGCCATCCTTCCCAGTGCGGCTGCTGTTCTTGTCATGAATTTGCTGGCTTTTGAGGTCGTTATCACTTATCAGAAGCTCCTCCTTTGTGAGGACAAGAAGGGACTATTAGAGCAACTGCAGCGACCTGCGCACTGATTTGCCCCCAGGTTCTTGCTGCGAAGGCGAGCGGCAAGAAGATCTTTTCGGAGGCGCAGTTCAAGAAAGCCCTGGGCGCCAAGACAACTGCCATGGCCAAGGCCAAGGCATCTGCCAAGGCCAAGGCCAAAGCAAAACCCAAAGCAAAAGCCGCGGCCAAAGCCAAAGCAAAGGTCAAGCCCACGATTGTCAAAAGCAAGGCAGGAAGTAAGCTGGCCGGCTTGACAATTTGCATGACCGGCGCAGTTTCCGAGACCAGGAAGAAGATGACAGACCTCATCAAGCGTAGCTCGGCACAGGCAATGCTTTCGTGCTTTTTGCCGCATTCAAGAAATCTTCAGAGCTAGGGGGCCCCGGAACCCATTTTTAACCAAGGCCATGGAGGCGGAGTCACTAGCTCACTAACGGGGAACACGACACATCTCCTTTGCGTCAACAGTGGGAACAGCTCCAGCAAATATTCGAAAGCCATTGACAGGGGGGTCAAGATCATTCGAGAGAGGCAGCTACGCCAACTGATCGGAGAGCTGAAGCCAGATCGGGGCAACGTTTGTCTCGCCGCTGGGCACAAGATGAAGTTCGGCATCAACCCGGAGTACGACAACTACGTGTGCAACCTGTGTGCCAAAAACACGACTGGCGCGAGGTGGTACTGTGTAAAATGTCAGGATGACATCTGCCCGAAGTGCCGAAAGAAAAGTTAGCTCCCGGCATCATCGCTTAGCGTTTTCAACCTGGAGCTGTAGGTTCAAGATGGTTCAAGGCTGGTCCTCCTGTATCACCGAGGCGTTGCAAATTCTTAAGCAAAGATCCTGCAGTCTGTAGCGTCAAGACAGTGCTCTACGTTGACTTGAACTTATCACTGTAGCACACAAATCCCAGCCCACAACAAGCTTGCTCTGCAAGCGTTGCGGCGTTGAGGACCAGCCACACACGGCAGTTCTTGTAGAGTGCTTTTGGGTGTTTCTGGTGCTGCGTGCCGCTGCGCACAGCAGAAGGGCTCCCACGGACCTTGGCAGACCAAAAGCCCGAAAAGAAGAAACTTAAGGGCGATCTTCTGAGAGCTGGCTTGGAGATTTCAGCCCGGACTGTAACTCAAACTAAGTTCAAGTTAAGTTCCATGGCTTCTGCTACAAACAACTTATGGTAAGCAGGGTGGCATGTGAAAAGTAACTGCGAGGCATGACAGTCCGACGGGTGGATTTGGATGTGTGCGAGATGCGCGGTGCTTCTCAGTTCCTCTGAGATTCACTGGGAGACGTCAGACTCTTGCGATAGTCATACTCAAAATGCAGGATAGAAGGATGCGAGTAATTACCATGCAGTCATGCAGCATGCTCGGCAGTCATCTGCGCGAACACTATTGTGAGAGGCCCCCTCTCTGAAGTCTGAGCCAGGAAAGAAGCGTCAGGACCCCAGTTTGTGCTGCTTCTTAGGCGCTTGTCGAACTCCGTTTGAATGTTCAAAAGTTGAGGGTTCTTGTGTCAGGGCGTAGGGCGTTAGGGGCCTATGATTATACATTTTAACAGGGCAACCTACCAGAACAGCTCATCGTAAGTGTCGTCAGGTTCTGTCGCTGAAGTGTGATAGGCAAACTTTGCCAGGAGTGAGGACCTGATGACGAGGAACTGGTCAACTTGGCAAGGGAGGCCTGGCATTCAGGTTAAGAATAAAGCACATGAACTCCCAAGTCTTACAACTTGCAATCAAAGAAACCTAGCGAGTCTTGCATGTTGCCAGTAAGATTGCTAGTATAACGTGTTTCTGAAGATTACCATCCTAGACCCACGACCTTGGAACTCAGCACCTTCAGCCCTGAGTGCACAGTGAAGAACAGCGTGGGCCAAAGGGGCGATTGAATCACCCCCTAGAAGTTGGACTCATCTGTCCATACCTGCTTCAAATAAAGTCGAACAAGAGCATGCAAATCCTGCAATTATCAGCATCACGAGCAGGGCATAGCTTTGCAACAGCTGTTTATTCAAGTACTTAGCGCAAGGAAAAAACCTGCCTTGTCAGCTCAGAGGTTGCAACATGCCAAACCCCCATCCAGAGCTTTTCACGGCTTCGAAGCTCATCATTCCTTTCTCTGCGTTGATCCACACTCCTGCACACCAGTCGGATCAGCATTTATGAATCACTTCTATGGTAGCGCCACCTCTGTTAAGGAGATAAGCGTGGCAACGATTGCTTTGGTGTGCTGCTCCTCTACTCCATCGTCGACTCCCCTTGGAGCTGCATAGCAGATCAGCCTCCGCAAATCGTGGTGGCACCAAGGTGCAGGGCTTGGAATTTTCAGAGCCCCCGCACCCCAATTCACCTCCTTTTGAGAACCGCTACTTTAAGCCCGAATCTGGTCGAACCATGTCAAATCTCACAAGCCGCTCCACTAATTCTAGGCAACACCCCGGAGCCCTCGGGCCCTTGAGGTGGCTTTGCTCTTCCCGATGTACACCATGCATTCCCAGCAGCTCCTGCAGATGACTGTAGTCCGACTGTAGTCGACCCGCACGACGTGCTCAAGGCTCGCTCAGGGGATTGTGAACTGCAGGAGCAAATCGCTTAAGCCTCTATCAGCGGCCTGAGCCTCCAAGCTTCTAAGCGCCTACAGCCCACCTGCAGCAAAAGCGAGCGCCGAAAAGCGTCCAACGCCTAGGCTTAGAGGCTAGGGGAGGCTAGAGGCGTCCTTGAACAGTTTGCAGTGACAGAGGCTAGCTTTTCCTTTAAATGCAGAGGCATCAGCGAGTTTGGCTCAGCAATGGACTTTAGAGACTTAGCTTCAGCTCCCAGCCAAGCCCCTCTGTATCAACCACGAACCAGTGTGCAGCTTCACTGAAGCCTTCAATGATCCCGAGCCGGGTTCGGCAGCATATAGGGAAACTCCTGTGGAGAGTGAGGTCGTTTCTTTGTGTGTTTTTGTGCGCCCCATTGCAGCCTCCCAGCCTTCGGTCTGGTGTTCGGAGGCCAGGGGAAGCATCGTGGTCTTCAACGCCAGCATGGGCAAGGCAGCTTTCTTCTCGCACCATCGAGCTTCCAAGGCAGAATTCAGTTGCGGGTCTTGTAGTCTACGTTGAAGCACATGCTGGGCGGTCTGGGCTTCATTCCGCTGGACTCGCTGGACCCAGTCACTGAAGCTGCCGTGCCCGCTGCCAAGCGCCTGTCGTTGCAAGAGTTCAAGTCTCAGCCGGTTTTGGCCATCAGCCGGACTCAAAGCGGTGTCGCTTTGAAAGAGCTGTACGGAGCTTTGGACCGGGAGAGGCCAGGGGCCCCTGAAGCGGTGTTTCGGAGGCTCTATGCCTCAAAGCCGGGGACTTTCCCGCGTATCGCAGGCTCCTAAACATGCAGGGTGCTTTGAAAAAGGGGCCTTGCCATGCTTCAGAACGATGCTGTTATACGCAGCCTTTTCGGACAACGCAGAAGGCATCACTTGCGAAGGATATGTTTGACGCCCAAGCACTGTGCACATTGTGCACTGATGCTGGCAGGGCGATGGAAGCACTGGAAGTACTGTTGTTGCAGGCCAGCCATGAACCACTCGCGTTGTCGCGTGCTTTGTGCTTTGCTCTTGGCGGCAGCGGTGGCTCTGCGGTAAGGACCGCCTCATACGTCTCAGGGCAGACTGGAACTCTCAGTATCTCTCAGTGCCCACAGAGTTCCTGTCACCCTTAACGCCTGAACGGGCCTTAACGTTGCTCATCAATGTGAAGTCGTTGCAGCACAGCTTTGGTCGAGTCACGGCTTTTTGTCGACCTTCTATGACCTTCTTCTTCTACCGGCCAAGATGACGCCGCTGATCGCTGCCTTGCAGCCACGAGGCTGCCGCGACTGCGCACAAGGCCAATCGCTTCCAAGCTTCTTGAAGAAGGGCTTGGTAGGAGACCCCTCGGAATGCCAAAGGTTGGCTTCACTCTGGCTGAGGCTTACCTCGAGATCTAGTGCGCCACCGCCAGCTTGTCACGGTTGCCGAATGGCGTTTTCATGTT